AGTATCAATTTTTAAACAAAATGATGTAACTTTTAAAAATGCATCCGCCATATTGGATCCGCCATTTTGAATTTTGAATTTTTTTAATTGTTTGGAAATTTTTTAACTGTATATAATTGAAAAACTAAATTAAATTTAAATTTTTTAATTTTATTTAAAAATATTTTTAAAAGATTAATTTTCAGAATTTCTTTATTATAATTTTTTTAAGATTTTCTACCTTAATAACTTTCAAAAAAATATGGACAGTTAATGTTCTTTGTATTTAAATAATTGAATTCTCGAATAACTTTTGGAAAAGTATTCAAAATAATTGATTTGCAGGTGAAGTTTAATTAAAAATTGTAGGTACAAAAATAATTTAATTTTAGAAAGATTATGTTGTAATTTTTAGAAATTATTGAATTTCAACAGGTATTAAATTGAAAAACAAATAAGAAGTATTTAAATATTTATTTAACAAAAGTATTCAAGTTTTGAATAATTGAATTTAGAAATCATTGAAAGGTCAGGGTAGCACAAAATAAATAATTAAATTAAATAATTATTTCTAATTGACTAAAGATAAACATTCTTTTATTAAATATCAATTTATTTACCAAGAGGGGTATAAAAAATGATAAAAAAAAAATTTTTTTTTTTTAATTATAATTTGTCCATATTTTTTTAAAAGTTATTGAGGTAAAATATTTTCAAAAAATAATAATAAAATATTCTTAAAATTGATAGGCTTTTAAAAAAACATTTTTAAAAAATTTTTGAAAGTTATTAGTTTTTCAAAAATTTTTTCCACGTAAGTGGAATGACCCTTAAAATATCGATTTTCGATTCATTTGTATGAAAGAAATTCTGAAGAAATTGAAATACCATTTTCAAAAAGGTTTTGTTAAAAAATAAAAAAAATTTGAACTATTAGAACCTTTCGCTATAAAGTGCTTTTACAGATTCCTTATAATAGATTCAGTTCATTGGCATTTATATATAAATTTCGCTATAGATGGAAGCAACTTGAGCGTAAAAATTAAAGTTGTTGACCTTGACATTTTGCAGTTCTCTTTTGTAATTTTCTCATATTCCAAATTGGCTTTTCCTAAGGATTTACGACTCACGTGAAATCATAATAATAAAGTACCTCATAAATGTCATTTGCAAAAACGAATTTTTGTCAACAAAAGACATTTAAATATTTCTCTCAATTTATAAATGAAAAGAAATAAAGAAATGAAATATAATTTCACTGTATGCGCTCGCGAGTTAAATTGCAGAGCGCAAACTGTGCTGTGTTATTGGCTCGTGCCACTGAATCGACTTTTAAATTGACGTTTAACGTCTCTCACGTGGTAATCCTATCACATTTTTTTCAAAAAGAAATTCACATCCAGAGAGAATAACAGTTTTATACTGTCTAAGGAGTTGTCCTTTCTCTTCCAGGAAGCCTCCACTTTCTCCTCGTGAAAAAGTCCCCGCATTAGATTATCCAGTCTATTAAAATTTATACAATTTTTCATATTTCTCTCCCCTACTTTTTCACTTTCTATTATACTTTTTGAATTCTTTTTTTTACTTTTTATTCGTTTTTGCTGCGTAGAATTGACTTTTTATAATTTAAATAAAAACTTAATTAATAAATGAATTTTTCATTCACTTTTTTATATAGAAGAGTTTGAAAGCAGTTTTAATTAATCAGATGAAGCGTGACATATATGTTAAGAAGAGGAAACGTTTATATTCCGATATTACTCAACTTTTTGCTGCAATAAACTTGGAACACTCAGTTTGTTATTTGTCTATTTTGCGGAAGTTATTCGCGAGATTACTGTACTCAGAATTATGTATTTGAACACGTGTGTTTATAAATACATATGCAATCGTCTACATTAGGTAATAATTTCTGCAACAAAATTTCAAAAGATTTTCGTTTATTCACTCATTCATATTTCATTCAATTTCATTGCTTTTAATCACAAAAAAATATTGTATTAGTATTAAATCTTTAAATATAAATTTCAAAAATAAATTCATCATCTTTTTCTCAATTAGAAGCAAAATTTAAAAGTCGAATAGTAAATACAAAAATGTAAAGAAAGAAAAATGTTTTAGTAATAAATATACAAACAGAAGACTAAAATATAATTATGAAAGAGAATAAAAAATATTTATTAAACAAGAAATTTTACTTTTATTATAAGTAGTAAATTATGTTTTATACACACATATTTACACTTTATGGTTATTTTTAAGAAACTAGTTGACGTACCCGTATATGATATTGAAATTTTTGAAATTTGTAAATATAATTATACGTGTTTTTGTGTATTAAATTATTCTCTGGTAAATTTCGAATTATTATTTAATTTCAATTAATTTTACACTAGGTATCTACAAAAATTGTGTAAATGCTACTTTTTTAATGCTATAAAAACTTTTTAATTTTCTAAAATGTATTAATTAACATTTTTTTCTTCTCAGCCAGTAAAATTTATTAAAATTTTTTAAAAATTAAACTTAAAAAAATTTAATTAATTTTCTAGAAACACAAAAAAAAATTAAATATCTAATAGTTAACAATGTGATAATTACCTCCAAAAATATGTTAGTTTTTAAATTTTATCTAAGAAATTTGACAAATTAATGTTTTGAAAATCATTGAATTCTTTCAAAGACTTTTATGAAAAAAATTGAGAATAATTGAATTCCTTAGAAGAATTGTATTATTTATAAAAATATTTGCATTCTTGCAAAGAATTTTATTTAATTTTTTAAAAATCCTAAATAAATACTTTTGAAGAATTTCTTTGGACTTTTTAAAACTGTTTATAATTATAATTTATTAAACATTTAACTATTGAATTTCAAAATGTCGAAAAATTTTATTTAAAATTAAAAAAATAATTGAATTTTTTCGAGAAAGTTATTAAAATTCTAGAAAATAATTGAATTTTTTCGAAAAATATTATTGAAATTTTATTAAAATTGTAGGTATTAAAAATAATTGAATTTTGACAAAGAATTTTTCTATGTATTTACAGAAATAATTGAATTGTTTCAAAGGATTTATTAAAATTTAAAAAAATAATTGAATTCTTTCGTAAGATTTTCAATTTTACGAAATTTATTGAAAATAATTGAATTTTTGCAGATTTTACTATTTTATAAAAATAATTAAATTTTTTCGAAGGATTTATTAAATTTTTTTAAAATAATTGAATTTCTTCGACAAATTTATTAAAATTCTAGGAAATAATTGAATTTTCTCGAGAAATATTATTGAAATTTTATTCAAATTGTAATAAAAATAATTGAATTTTGACAAAGAATATTTTTACGTTTTTACAGAAATAATTGAATTGTTTCTACGTATTTATTAAAATTTTAAAAAATAATTGAATTCTTTCGTAAAATTGAAAATTTTACGAAATTTATTGAAAATAATTGAATTTTTGCAAATTTTACTACTAATTTATAAAAATAATTGAATTGTTTCCAAGGATTTATTAAAATTTCAAAAAATAAATGAATTCTTTCGTGAAATTTTGTACAAATTTTGCTAAAAAAATTACTACTTATTAAAATAATTGAATTATTCCGAAGAATGTTATTATTTATGAAAATAATTGAATTTTTGCAAAGAATTATATTAAAATTTTTGAAAATAATTGAATATTTCAGAAATATATTATTAAAAATTAAATTCTTTAATGAAATTTTATAGAAATTGTATTAAAAATAATTGAATTTTTTCGCGAAATTGAAAATTTTACGATATTTATTGAAAATAATTGAATTTTTGCAAAAATTTTACTATTTAAAAAAATGATTGAATTGTTTTGAAGGTTTTATTAAAATTTTAGAAAATAATTGAATTATCTCGTGAAATTTTATAAAAATTTTGTTGAAAATTGAATTTTTGTAAAAAAAAATTGACTATTAAACATTCAATGAATTTTTATAAATTTTATAAAAATTAATTGAATTCTTCCGAAGAATGTTATTATTTATGAAAATAATTGAATTCTTGCGAAGAATTATATTAAAATTTTTGAAAATATAAACATTAATAATTAATTATGTACTTAATATGTAAAGTTTTTAAATTTTTATTATCAAATTATTCAATAATAATTATACTTATATTAAAAAATAAAAAATATTTAACCGAAAAATAAACTTAAAAAATGTTTAAAAACCAAAAATTTGGTTTGGTTCTTAAAATTGGATTTACTGTACATATTTTTAAATTTTCTTCCTTGAGTCTGACAAAAAATAAAAAATTTGAATTTTTTTGATTTTTTGAAAAATGTCATAATTTTTGTTCAGCTTAATATTTTTTTAATTAACTATAGCTAATATTTTAAGTCAGACTAATATTTAAAAGACAGCCAAGTTTAACTTCATTCGGTCTAGCTGTTTTCCCGTGATGCGCGAACAAAATTTTGCAGACATACATGACACAAATTTTTTTATGGACATTTTTAGATTCTTTGTTGTTCAAAACGATAAATCATGATAGAAAAAAATTAATTTTGGGCAATGTGCAGACAAAAGTCTGATTTTATTAATATAAGTAGATATTTTCAATAAAAATTATTGAATGAAAATTAATATTTTAGAAAACGCGCGTGCCACGAAACTGAAATTGGAGACTTTATAACGCAATAAAATAGAAATTGTAATATCTGCATGTACATACATTTAGTTTTAAATTACTTTCATATGATTCTATATATGAATAAATTTTTCGATGTTTTTCGATCTCAATAATATTGAAAAATAATTTCTTTTAAATAACGATGTAAAACATTATTTGTAGCATCAAGAAATAAATTCTATTCTATTCTTTTAAATAACAAACATTTTTTAATTATCAGTGGGAATTTAAAATTTTCACGCACTCTTCTTAGTAACTAAATAAATTTTTATAAGAAATAAAAATTAAATTAAATTAAAAATAAAATTTTATTAAAATAAAAAATGAACAAAATGAAATTGTAAATTCTTACGAGCTGGTGGCAAATGCTCTACTCGAACAGTGACCTTCCTGAATTTGTAGTAATCAAATGGGTACAAAGGGATGGCCGGTCGGTCCACAATCACTTCTCTAGTATATTTTGAAACTTTATAGTAATCGTAGGGATACAGTGGAATCGGAGTAGGATCGAAAATTCTGGTTAAATTTCTGAATGGATAATAATGAAAGGGGTCATAAAAAGGAAGCGCGAGATCCATAGTCCTCCACGAATTTGTATCTATATGAAATTTAATAAACCGCTTGCGTACTGCAAGATACTACCAAGACCACTGAATTATTAAAATCTCTTTCGGTCTCGTTTAGCAATTACTTTTACTCACATAGGAAGAAACTCCTTAGAGGCGAGGGGCCCTTCAGTTTCTAATTAGTCTGGCAACACTCCAACCATTCACTTCCGTATTTAAATCTCGTGACCGAAAACTACTGATTGTAACCAGCTGCCAAAAGTGGGTTTAATTGTTGATAAAAAAATAGACATTAAAGTGAGATGCTTAGGAGGTGTCGAAAACTTTATAGAAACGTGAGTTGATGAAAATAATTTTATTTTTAAGGACTTTTTTTTAACTTCTAGTCTAATTAAAACGTTTTTTATCCGTGAGCTATAAATATGTTTTTTAATTAAACTTCTAGCTACCCATGTAGATTATTTTTAATTTACTGTTGAATTTATTCTTCCATTAAGTACTTCATGAAGTTCTTTGACCTGAAATTAACCAATTTAGCTTTTAAATGTCCGTTTTATTCATATCTGCGCACTTTCATCATTTTCAAGGTTAATAATTAAGACTCCAAAAATTTCGTAAGGTAAATCTTTTGTGTTTAAGTATATTTACAAAATAAAAAAAGCGGATCTAATATGGAACAGAGTTATTTTTATTTCGGTGAATTTACTTAAAACTTCTCACTTGCTGAGTTGTGTCTGAGATCACTAATTACAAATTTGTTCTCAGAGTTTTTTAAAATCCAAAATTAAAAACTGTTACATTATTCGTAAAGAGCTACCCTAACACTTCCAAATAGTCATATTTAATTTTCAATTTTTCAAGAATATTGGAAATTATGCATCGTCTTTCTTAAATAGAAAAGTACTGGAAAAAATTGAATTTTTAAAATTCATGAGAAAACTCTGAATTTTTTTCCTTTTTGCCTCGTAAATTATGAAATTACCTCGAATTTTAATAGAAAATCTTCAATTTTTTCAATTTCTGACAATAATTTCTTTTTAAATAACTTCATTTTTCAAAAACTATCATAAAATTATGACTTACAAATTATTTTATAAACAATTTTTACAATTTTCGTAAATACTAGATTGATAGAAGAATTTCAGTTAAAAATACTAAAAAAAATTTGGATTTTGGAAAAGTTACAAATGATTACAGAAATTCAATTATTTTCAAAAGTTACAAAAATTCTTCGCAAAATTTCAATTATCTTTATAAATAATAAAATTCTTCATCGAAATTCAATTATTTTTAAAAATTTGAATAAAATTCTTGTCAAAATTTCGTAGGAATTCAATTATTCAATTTTTAATAAATCAATTCAAAATAATTCCATTATTTTCATAAGTAATAAAATTTTCACAGGAATTAAATTATTTAAAATACAAAATTTCATAAAATTTTTCGAAAAATATCAATTATATAAAAAGATTTTTATAAAATATTTTCATGAATTCAATTATTTTTATAAATAATAAAATTTTTCACCGAAATCCAATTACTTTTATAAACTTGAATAAAATTCGTTGGAAGAATTACATTATTTTCAAAATAATAAAATTCTTCGCAGAAATTCAATTATGTTCAAAAATTAAAAAAGAAATATTGTCAACATTTCAATTATCTTTATAAATAATAAAATTCGTCGCAAGAATTTAATTATTTAAAAAAATTTAACATAGTTCTTTTTAAGAATGCAATTATTTTTATAATTATAATAAAATTCTTCACCGAAATTCAATTATTTTTATAAACTTGAATAAAATTCGTTGTAAGAATTCAATTATTTATATAAATAATAAAATTTTTCTCCGACATTCAATTATTTTATGAAAATTTTAATTATTTATTTAATTATTATTTTTATGAATTATTTTTTATACAATATTTTAATCAAATTCCTCGATAAATGTAATTATTCTTAAAAATTTTATTAAAATTTGTCAAACGAATTCAATTATTTAAAATTTTATTGACAAAATTCTTTATGAGAATTCAATTTTAAGAAACATTCAATTATTCAATAAATTATTTATTTTTTAATTTAAATAATTGAATTTTTTTAGAATTTTCTAATAAAAGTTGTTTTAAAAATGAATAAACGAATAATCGATTTATTATTATTTATAAAAATAATTGAATTATTGCAACTAATTTTATTACATTTTTTAAAAATAATTGAATTTTTTTGTGACATAATTGTACTTCTTGTAAAAATAATTGAATTCTTGCGAAGGATTTTTTTAGGATTTTTGTAAATAATTAACTTATTTTAAAAAATTTTATGGCAATTTAAATTATTACAAAACATGAAGAAGACGATCATTTATATAGTGATCGTCTTCTTCATGTTTTTTTTCTCCGAGTCTTCGACTCGGAGTGATCGTCTGCTTCATGTTTTGTAATAATATTCTTATAAGTATATAAGTTGTTGAATTTCAAAAAGGTTTAAATTTGAATATTTTGAAGAATTTTAATTCCTACAGAAAAAAAATAATAATTAAATATTTATTTAAGAAAGAAATTATTGATGTTTTTAAATAATTTTACAATTAAAGAAGTTTGTAAATAAATGTAATAGAACATTTTTTTTGAGTATCTAATAATTTTTAGAGTGAATCATAATATTCTTTAGGGTCAGGGAAAAAGTGAAATTTTTTTCTGGAAATCAGGGAAAATTCAGGGAAAAATAAAATTAAATATTTGTGGCAACCCTGATAATTTTTATTTTCTTAACCAGGAGAATTAATTTTATAGGTCTGTCAACATCGAAAACGATCGTTTTCGCAAATATGAAATATGTTAACCAAAATTTTAAAAAATAAACTATTTAAAATTTAAAAGGATTGTTCTTTTTTCTTCCATATTAACTATTAAAGTTTCAACGCAGTTTTAAATAAAACGCAATCTTTTCTCGAAATGCAGTTTAGTTGAACAATTAAAACTTAATAATAAAATACTTTTATATGTTAAAATGGAGTATACAAAAAATTTTGTTCGTTTTATAAAATTTTAATGTTGTATCTTTTTTTAAATTGTTTGTTTATAAAATTTTAATAAAAAAAAACAAATTCTTGTATCATAAATTTTTAAATTGTTTTTAATTTTAATAATCGCAGTACTGAGAATAAAACCGCGTTAAGAGAAAATGCATGACTGTCAATTAGAAATAAGTTAATTTTCAATAATTCTTCAATTATATATTAGTTTAATAATTAATCTTCTTTTTGCAGCGATTAAAGATAATTAGCGTCTATCATAATAGTTTTCTTACTCGTAATTTATTTCGGATACATTTTTAACTATATCAAGAAAATGATTTAAATTTTCCATAAAATTATTTTTATAGTAATTATTTTTTGAGAGGAATTCAATGGTCAGATAATATTTTGACCCTTTTTGAATTTTTATTTTTTCTGAATTAATAGACTTTGAAATCCATCTGTAATTTTATAGAAAATATGTTTTTGTATCCACAAAAAAATTATACCGATTGATAAAATTTATTTTCACTATTTTTGAAGCATTTTTTTTTAAAGTTTCTAGGTTGAAAATGCTAAAAATAAATTTAAAAAAATACAAATTTTTCTTTTCAAATATTTTCAATTTTAAAATTAATGTATTAAAAATAATTGAATTCTTGCAAAGAATCGTATTAAAATTTTAAAAATAATTGAATTCCTTCGCAAAATTTTATTATTTCTGAAAAGAATTGAATTCTCGTGAAGAATTTTATTAAAATTTTTAAAAATACTAATTAAATTCTTTTGAAAAATTTATTTGAATTTTTTTGAAATATAATTGAGTATTTATTTAACAATAATTGAATTCTTTCAAAACTTTCTTTAATTTATTGAATATAATCGATTTTACTAATAATTATAACTAATTATTTTACTATTAAAATTTTATTAATATTATTGATAGAAAATTTAACACTTTTAAACAAATTTTATTAGAGTTTTTGTAAATAAATTAAATTCTTTTGAAGAATTTCTTTAAGTTTCTTTGAGAAATAATGTAGTTTTTTGAATAATTTTAATTGAAAATTTTGAAAATAATCCAATTAAACAAAGAATTTTTTTCAACTTTTTAAAATTAATCTTGTTTGTTAATAATTATAATATTCAATTATTGAAGTTTATTAAAATTATATATTGAAAATAATTGAATACCTAAGAAGTATTATATTATTTACAAAAAATAAATTAATTCTTGCGTTAAGAAAATAATTGAATTGTTTTGAAGGATTTATTAAAATTTTAGAAAATAATTGAATTTTTGCAAAGATTTTACTATTTAAAAAAAATTGAATTGTTTCGAAAGATTTATTAAAATTTAAAAAAAAATTGAATTCTTTATAGTGAGATTTTATTGAAATTAATTGAATTTCTGCAAAGATTTTACTATTTTAAGAAAATAATTGAATTGTTTCGAAGGATTTATTCCATTTTTTGAAAATAATTGAATTCTTTCGTGAAATTTTTTAAAAATTTTATTTGAAAATAATTGAATTTTTGTAAAAATTTATGCAAAAATTAATATTTCAAAATAAAAGAATTTTTGTAAATTGCATATTATAATAATAAAATAAACAGAATATCACGTTGCGCGCGTAATATTTGCAATTTTTAAAAATATTTTTTATTTAAAAAAATTATGATTTGAAAGTATAGTTAGACAAATGAATTTTCATATTAAAAATTATAAAGCGATGATATTTTTTAGCATTTTCAACCAAAAAAAAATTTTTTTTTTCAAAAAATGTTTTAAAAAGAGTAAAAAAAAATTTTTTTATTCGACAATTTTTTGTGGATACAAAAACATATTTTCTAAAAAATTATGGATGGATTTTAAAAAATATCAATTTAAATAAAATTCAAAAACGATAAAAATATTTTTTTACTATTGAATTCCTCTGAAAAAATTACTATAAAAATAATTTTATGGAAGATTTAAATTATTTTCTTGATATGATTAAAAATGTAGTCGAACCCTCGCCTTAGTTAAATTATTTTAAATTATTGAGTAATATTTTTTT